ATGGTAGCTCCATTTCCGTCTTGATGAGGTTGTAGATCAAAATCGTATTCTCACCCAAATCGGCACAGAGTACCAACACCTCCAAGTACTTAACCCACCCAACTGGAATTATAGCCACATCCTTACTTGCAGATTCGAATTGTCCAATGAAAAATACCCCTTCATTCTCCAAGCACACATGCGCGGATCCATCTCCCAAACTTCCCAATAAAGATCCCCACACTCACGCAATAAAGATAAATGCTTTCCAGTCGACAAGTAAGTATTCTTAACTTCCCCACTCAGGCCAATGGAGTAATCAGGCCCAGGGCTCTCCGTGAATTCCTCTGTCTCCAAATTCATAGTCAATAACCTGTCGTCATGCAAGACCCAATGCATAAACCCAGCAGTAATCAAAACGGGTTTATACTTAAAAATAAAAAACCCTAGGCTCGGCCTGCACGACTCTCCACGACTCATCATCATCTTCTCCAATGGTTAACACATGAAACTCGTCCACCTTTACGCCTGTATATGGATCGGGAGGAATGTAGACCACCACTTTCAAATCCATGGAGTCCCGAGCGCATGATACTCCCCATGAATACATAGGTGTCGCTTTAGAATGAGTGACAAGTGAAGGGAGATTAAGAATTACCCCTGACGAGTGATGTGAGGGGATGAGCTCACTAATATTCCCTCCTTCTGCAAAAGCTAAACAGAGTTCCGAACAATCGGTCACGGCCACGCTCGTTTTTTGTTGCCTCAACTTGTTTATCTCGACCCGGCCGTCTCGGGTGCCCATCGAGAACACGGCCCGGTATTTTTTGAAGAGAAGGGCGTAAATGTTGTGGCTATGGGTCACTTCGTACCACCTGCGGCAAACGAGCCTTGCCTTGTATATATCGTGGGCCGGGACACGGTCAAAAATGTTGGACAACAAGTCATCTGATAGAGCCCCATTGATATTTTTTTCACCATTCATCTGCACATTTAGTGTAAGGAGAACTTCAGCAACATAAGATAAGATCTTGGTAAAACAAAAATCTGTATCTGTCCACAAAGAAATTCTAATTGATTGTGATCTATCCTCGATTCTCGACAACCAAACCTACTTTTGTTTCGGATTGACCGAGCAAAACTAGCATTCTTTTAGATCCAAAAGCGATTTTTGGTTTGTAAATGAAATATTAAGGATTCTTTTGCAATTTTTAGTTGAGGTGAATTCGAAGAAAGTGGTCGAATTGTGTAAAAAAGGGTGGGATGCTGTATTTTCAGGATTGGATTTCATATTCGAATTGGCTAGTTGCTCCATAGCCCCGGGGCTATGGAGCAAAGGATTAGCCAGGACCTACGCCGAGGAAAACTTTGCACGCCTCCGTTACCTTTTGGGAGGCCTATGTCACACTTTCAAAGGTTGAAATTAACTCACGACACAAAACTAGATGACAATATGGAATATTAATCTTTGAGCAACTTCAGTAACATAAATGAGATTTTGCAAACTCTTTTTCTGTATCTGTCCACAAGAAATTCTCATCCCTATTCTCAGTTGGTCACATTCAGGGGTTGAATTTAACTTGCGCCACAAAACTGGAATCCTAATCCGTGACCTAATTACTGCGTATATGCTAAAGAGAGTAAACATTACCAACCAGCAAAATCAACATGGGGCAATTCAAAATTAAACTGCTCTTAACAGAGATTAGCTGGTAATATATGAGGAAAATACACCTGATAACCAGTTTGATTACTATTTAATTCGCATCAATGTACAAAAGCTGATGGATATTTTTAGACCGAACCTGTTCTTCGCCGAAACTGAGTATTTCCTGCTTCTGATCCTCCTCAGGTGGCGGCCGCTGGTGGCGCCGGCGTCGGCGGCTGGTGCCGGGTTCGTGCGGCGGGGACGTGTTACGTCTTAATTAGGTCGTGCTGCCAATTTTTCTCTGATTCGGAGATTAGGAATGGCAAATATATGTGTATGGAGTAGATGTAGGTATCCTTTAAACAAAACAGTTGACCCGCAATCCGACCCATGATCAGGCCTTATCCGGATGGGCCGCCCATCAGCCATTGTTGTCACTCGTGAATTTTCAATAATTTATTGTTCTAAAATTCCACTAGAATAATTCGTATTTGAAATATGATTTTTTTTTTTTTCAATTCGGTTTCTATACTAGTGGTTGAATTCATTCAACTTTGTGAATCATGTAATTTAAATAAAAATATATATATATATATATAATTTTATGCATAATTTTTTCTCTAAGAAGCTTTTGAGTTAAGACGAGTATCTCATATTCGAATTCGCACTATTCTAATCATGTTCGAATTCATACTATGTTAATCGTATATAGATAGATGTGTTGTTCGGGTCAAGTATCTCATTTTCAAACTCATTCTCGTCTAAGACTCGACTTGTTCGATAAACTCTACGTCATAGCCCAAACCTCAACTCGTAAAGTAAAGAACATAACAAAGTTGTTGTGAACATGTTTGTCTCGACTTGTTTAGTACAATAGCTTGATTAGTTGTTTGAACTCGGCTCATTCAATGTACGTACGAGTCGATTTTAAATTCGCGTTACAATCACAATTTCTCGTTCATAATCCAACATCCCCTCAATACGAAGTAAACATGTCCAAATAAATTAAAGACATATCAAACAAAGAAAAACAACGAAACTCAAACAAATATGAAGATCTCTTAAAACCATAAAGACATTAATTCGAATATTATTTAGCATAGGAAACAGAAAGACATAGAAATCAGCTAAGAAAAAACCCAACGAAGCAAGAACAAGGAAACAAACTTCAAAGGACCAACTATTGTCTCAAAAACATACTACTTGACATGAAGAAAGCAAACACAAAATGGTGCATTATGAACACTAGAGCTTATGGGTGTGTATGTTGTAATAACAAACACTATTCGCCTAGCTCGATTTTCTTCATTACTCGAGTGACGAGATTGTACACCAAAATTGTCTTCCCGCGCATATTCGGGCATAGGACCAACACCTCCAAGTACTTAATCCACCCGATCGGGGTTATGGCCCCATTCGAATCTGAATCCGTAGATTCGAATTTGCTCTCGTGATCAACCAACGTGTTGACAACCGACTTAGCATTTTCCTTAAATCATAATCCAGTTAATTGATTCCTATTAACTTCCATCTTTATTACAATCATTCTTGAAATGAAATATATTTTCTCGGTTGAAAAGATAGTCCGATATCCTCAACTTTCTTCCGAATTCCAATCCTTTTCCTGTTAAAACCGAGAACCGACTTGACCAAATTCCAAAGCTGCTGATTAAGCATCCTTCTGATTGGACCGAGAATAGAACCATAATCATTCATTTTTCTTGAAAATCGACACACCGCCTCAAAAGGCGAAATAGCATTTAATTCGATCCTATCTACCTCGTACAAGAGGACAATGCGCTCTCAGCTATAAATAGTCGAATTTAATGTAATAAATGCTCTCTCGAAAAAAATAGAAATTCAATCATCATATATGGTCGTCTCGGTTATTATAAAACTGAATTCTTGTACTCTGAAACAATATCGAAATAAAATACATTTTTCCTATGTTTTATTGTTGCTTACATTTCTTTTTATAGTTGTTCAATTTCATACAACAATAGATTGGCGCTAGAAGGAGGGCTCCATCTGTATTTGGAGTTAATCTTCGACCGTTAGTCGTGAAGCTACGTGTGTGTGCATTTAAGTCACTACGTGTTCAACAACTATGTCGCAATCTGAGCACATATCAATGGCAGGGCATAGCCATCATGCCGCCAAATCAGCTGAACACCCTACCCCAACATCTGCGATACCAGATCTTAATGTTTTATGCCAAAATCCTGAGTTTGTCAAGGGGTTTACTGCCTTGATGGCCCAAACGATGCCAGGGGGTTCTCATGTGCGTTCTATACCTGGAGGAAAAGTTACTCAGTCTGTACAACAACCAGGTGGACCTGCACCTTCTCATGCCACTTCGCAGCCACACCGTGACGTTGTTCCACCATGCCAAGATGCAAATAATGCCAAAGCTGATATTGATGTTCCTAGAAATATCGTTCCCCCGGGCGGAGACATGAGAGAGCATACGGCCGAAAGTCATTCAACCCGACGACAAGAAGCCCCAGTAAATCCACTACTCAATCCTATTTTGTCTCAGCCTCCCCGACCGACGGATTTGCGACAGCGGATCGAGCAGAATCGCCTTGCAAGACATAATCAGTGGAACTTGAGACTTTAAGGAAAAAAGTCGCCGAGTTGGAAACTCGGCAAAAGCTACGAGAGGATCTTCCACGACGACTTTCCACATCAGTACCTGTCGTCATAGAAGTCGACTCTCCTCTTGCATCCGAGTTAACTTTAGAACTGTTACCCGGAAAGGTAAGAGTTCCTCAAATTGGTTTGTATGATGGATCTTCTGATCCCGATGCGCATCTTGGACAATATACGTCTTGGATGGATTTACATGGAGCAACCGATGCATTGAGATGTCGAATGTTCTCAGTCACCTTGGGGCCTCGAGTACAAAAATGGTATCATTCATTGCCCCAACAATCTATTTGGAACTGACAACAGTTAAGGTCAGCATTTCGATCGCATTTTATCGGTGCTCAAGTTTGTCTTATCCCGAAGGAATCAATTACTAATATCGTTCAAAAGGAAGATGAAAGCGTAAAAGATTATATTGCCCGTTTCAATGACCGAGTCCGGAACATGGAACCATACCACCCCGAGACACTTCTTGTTTCTGCGATCGCTGGCCTCAAACCGAATTCGTTATTTCGGTGGACACTTTGTCAGAACAAAACCGAGTAACTTTCAAGAATTCTTTGCTCGTGCTCAACAACACATAATTGCTGAAGAATCAATGTCAGTGCCAAATTTTAGTTTCAATTCTAAAGAAGTGACGGCAGAAGGAGACGTTAAAAAAAAGCAATAAAAAAATCACCAATAGTAGGTTTGGGAAAGTTCAATTTGGGTGATCATCAAGGGGAGACGCCAGCGATTCTGAAGTACAATGGCAAAAAAACAGTATGCTGAAGATTTGAAGTTGGGATATCAAACTGTCTATTCAGCTGGAGCAGCAACAATCTTTGAAGAGTTGAAAAGGAAAGGAATCATACCCGATCCTCGACCTATTAGAACTCCTGAAGACCAGTTGGATAAATCCAAGTGTTGTGCCTATCACAAGTCGCCGGGACATAATACTGATGAAAGTCTCAGCTTGTTATCGGTCTTGTTGAAGTTGATAGGAAATCCACAAGTAAGGAGGTTCACCAGAAATTCTAACTTCAAGCGTAAGACACGTCCTACTGATGTCCCTGACGATGACGAAGATGAAGCGGAAATAAACCCAAAAAGAGTCTGACCCCACGAAAAAAGAAGTTTTTATGTTCGTTCCAGAAGGATCTGAGAACAAAACAACTAAACAAACTTGGTTTGACTCCTCGTCTACATACGACAATTTCATTCCCTGAGTTAATACCAATGATGATAGACCGACGTTGTCCCGACGTCAAGCTAAAGCGTATGCCCGAAAGGCCTACTACTCGGGAAAACGAGTCGTAACAACTGACTTACGAGATACTATAAACCTTCGTAATTGTTCAATCACTTTTACTGCGAATGATGCTAATTTATTTGCTCACCCTCACACGGATGCGTTAATAGTTACGGCACAAATTGGGCACATTTCTGTAACACCCCTCCTTACTGTAAAATCAGAGTAGCGCAATAATTCACAATAAAACCTTTTTTACTTTGCGAAAACTGATTCGGGGTGCTACCTTTAAAAATCCTTACTTAACTTAGAAAACCGTTGTTTTAATTTAATAAAAGCGTCCGGTTACTGAAAACTTAATTTTCTTAAAAGTTCGTCAAAGTGATGAGTTCGTCAAAAACGTACGTCAAAAGACATCAAAACATCATCACAAGTCATCAAAATATAAGCGGAAGCGTAAAATCATCATCATATTATACAGTCCAAAATATAAATGTCCTGAAGAC